TTTCTCAATCCTCATAATTCCCAAATTGGTAGCAAGTACTAGAACTTTTCACCTGTTTTGCCCACCCCAGCCAGGTCTGAAGAACAATGTCAACCAATTGAAAAGGACTTCTTAAAATTGAGTATCTACTTATATGACATAGTAAACTCAGTCCTATGTAGTAAACAAATGGTAGAAATAAACGATTACTCAAGTCTAAAAAACGATAAGTATAATGTAAGAGATAACTGCAACTTACATGAACTTTGAGTCAGAAGAACTCATGTTTGAATCATACATCAAGACCTACTAGTTTTGTGTCCATAAGCACATTCTTGACCTTACAAAGCCACAGCTTTGGAATGGGATAAAACAAAAATACTACATACTTTTCAGCTTTATTACAAATTCATATATGAAAAATCAAACAGCTGCCTGATTGATATATAGTATATATTTAGTGAACATTCATTTCTCTTTTCTTTTCTTTCTATTTAATCTAGAATGTAAGAAGTTTATGTAACTTATTATACCAAGAAGAGCAAAGGCTCAAATTAAGAATACACTTTGATAACAAGAGATACCTCTTACAAATTGTCAATCTCTATTTCTTTAATATTTTTCTCCATAAGTTTTGCAGTTGTTACTTTTCCACATGAAGCTTAACAAAAGACTCAAATACAGTTTATTTTCCTCCATTTCTCTATGCCTTTCTGGTCACTAATTTCCCTCAGATAAAGTGCAGCTTTCTCTGCAGACAGGCTAGCAGAGCCAAGGTCTCAATATTACTCTGGTTCTCTCCTGAATTTTTGCAAAGGCGTGCATGGGCCAATAGACAGCAGCCATCCCTGAAAGGCTCAGGTGAGTAATGAGGCTCAGAGTTACAGATCAGAAGCTGTGCTGTCAGGAGGAACAGACCTTTTCTGGCACCGCAGGAGCCCTCTGCAGTCAGTTCTAGAAATGTCATGGGTACCATTTTCTTATGTTAAGGACTACTAACTTTTATTTCAAATTCCAGCAGTAATAAAATGCATTTTAAAGTTAAGAGTAACCCTTAAAGAAGTGGGTCTTTTTTTCATAAGTTGTACTTTTGATCACATTCAGTCAATTACGTTTTAAGTCCAGTAACCTCAAAGAAATACTTCCATTGCTCAAGTGCTTTCTCCATGGCTATGGACGTAAGATACACTAGGAAAGGGTGTGAGTGAAGATACAGGGGGATAACTCCTTTGTGCATTGTGACAGGCACTGGAGTAAATCCAGCTCTCTTCCAGGAGCTGCCTGAAAAATGAGAGGGATACAGTCTAAAAAAAGAATTACAATGCAAGATGTTGAGTGTGTTGTTTGAGATGTGGGGTGTCAGGAAAAGCTCTCCTCACTATTCAACTTTTGAGAACTGCCTTGAAGAGTGATTAGGGACTTTCCATCTTAAGAAAAGAGGTGACATAAAGCAAAAGGAGAATCATGTCTATAGAAAAATAAAAGACAAAAAAAATTGAAGATTTAAACAAGTGGAATAAATCAGCTGTCACTACAGTAGAGAATGAAACTATGTAGAATGGGATGGAAAGGTAAGAGACAAAATATGACAATATAAAACATTCCCAGGGAAGAACAGTTTATAGCCTTATATAAAACTTGTGGATTTCCTATAGAAAACCAAGTATGAGAGTAACAAGAATATACTTTGCAATATAATGGGTAACTTTAAATGAAATGTGGAAGATTTGATATTAAAAGCAGAATCAGGCATGAGCGTTTGCAGAAGTCTAACAGCAACATGGTGAATATTTACACCAGACCTGTGGTTCTCAACAGAGGGAGGTCACTCTCACCTATACGAAGGGAATGTCAGGCAATGTCTGGAGACATGTTTGCTTGTCACAACTGGGAAGTTGATACCAGCATCTAGATAGAGGCCAGTAGTGCTGCTAAACCTTCCGCAATATACAAGAAAGTCCTTCACAACAAAAATGTAACCAGTCCAAAATGTCAATAATCCCTAGTAGAGAAATCTTTGTCTGGGAAAAGTCTATGACAGATGGGACAGAGAAGAAGACTGAATCTGATGAACAATTTTGAAGAAATTTGAAGATTATTATAGAATGTAAGGAAAAGGAAAAAGTTAAGGATCTCTAAAAATTTGTTAACATGGATGTCCTTAACAAATCATATCATTTTGAATATAATAAAATAGGATGGCATCATATTATCTGATTAGGATCTCCAGTAATTTGTTACCTACAAGAGACTGAAGGCTAGAAATAGATTTTTAAGTCAATGTCTTTTAAGTTATACTTGAGACCAAGGAATGAATCAGATATTTAAAGATGAGCATATAGGGTTTGTAATCAAAGATATGCATCAGAAACATCTGGTTCCACTCTGGGATATTCTAAATTGGTAGACTGAAAGTAAGTTCCAAGAATATGTCTGTTTAAATATACTCTCTGAGAGGATAAGCAGTACATGTTTAATGGCTCTCTGTATGAAGGCAGGAAGTAGTATAGAGGAACAGAGTATGATAACACTTAACCTGTGATGATAACTAGTTTTACATCATTCAGTTGAGAGTCATAAAAATATTTTATATAATTACAAAAACAAAACTAAAATAGTAGTTTCTAAAAGTCCAAGCCAGGTTAAACCCCACACCTACCTACTTTTTGAGTTGGTGGCATAAGACAGAATCCATTCCAAGTGACTTTACCATGTATATAACTATTTGTAACCAATTGAACTGTGGTTTTGGTAATCATATTGGTGATCATAGTGCTACTCTGAGACTGATGTATATGCATTATGAGCTAATGTAAATACATAATTATTCTTATGTCTGGGACTTTGAAAATGTAAAAATGTAAGATATAGATAAATAATTTGTTGGTTAAGTAAAAATTCTGTCTCAGTCATGATGTATTTAGCTTTAAAAAATTACATTACATACTTTCTTTCTTGAGAAATGTTTTTAAAAACCAGCAGCAATTAGCATTACCAGTACCAAATTATTTATTTTTATTTTTATTTTTATTTTTATTATTATTTTTTTTTTTTGAGGAGTCTTGCTCTGTCACCCAGGCTGGAGCGCAGTGGCATGGTCTCATCTCACTGCAACCTTGCCTCCCTGGTTCAAGCAATTCTCCTGCCTCAGTCTCCCGAGTAGCTGGGATTACAGGGGCATGCCACCACGTCTGGCTAATTTTTTTTGTATTTTTAGTGGAGACGGGGTTTCACCATGTTGGTCAGACTGGTCTCAAATTCCTGAACTCAGTCAATCTGCCCGCCTCAGCCTGCCAGAGTGCTAGGATTACAGGTGTGAGCCACTGTGCCTGGCCTAGTGCCAAATTATTCATGTCTCAATACCATTTACCAAAAAAAGGAAACAAGACCTCCTGCACAAATGGCTGCATCCACATCTGTTTTTTAATCCCAATTTTTAAAAGATAAGTACAAAACAGCATAAACATAACACCTTAGATGTTATCTGAAAATGATGATAGGGCACCAATTTATTATTTTAGAAATTGATAATAGAGGGAAAGAGATCTTAAATCAGACATTTAACCTTACGTTTCCCATATGTTTTGAACCCCAGAATGACAAATCAGTTGGATGAAGGAATTTTATTTAAAAGAAATAGTCCAGCCAATAAAGCAAGAAGGGAGGTTAGAATTAGACCATCATATTTTGCAACTCTTATTGACATAATGATCTAGACAATTATCTTTAGTTACTGCTAACATCACCAAAAAAAAAAAATCACCAAACATGGCAGGCCTTTTGTCCTTCAAAATCTCAAACTTGAAACTAATGGAGCATCTAGATTTACTTTCAGAAACACAGGAAACAAAGCAATGTATAATAACATCTTGGGAAGATAATCAGCAAAACCCAGATTGTGGGAAACAAGAAAAACAACCCAATTTCCGCAATAGCTTAATAGTAAACGGGCAGGAAGCTGGAAAGAGAGTGAGACCCAGAGAAGGGGTAAGGGAAGAGAGAGAGAAAAATTCTTTTTTTTTTTTTTTTTTTTTTTTAATGAGATGGAATTTAGCTCTCGTTGCCCAAGCTGGAGTGCAGTGGCATGATCTCGGCTCACTGCAACCTCTGCCTCCTGTGTTCGAATGATTCTTCTGCTTCAGCTTCCTGAGTAGCTGAGATTACAGGCACCTGCCACCATACACATAGCTCAAGCCTGTAATCCCAGCACTTTGGGAGGCCAATGCAGGTGGATCACCTGAGGTCAGGAGTTCGAGACCAGCCTGGCCGACATGGTGAAACCCCATCTCTACTAAAAATATATATATTTTTAAAATTATTAAAAACATATAGGGATGTCAACCACCAACTAGAATACATAGTTTTATTCTAATTTTTATTCAATCAAGTGAGCTGTAAAATAATGGTTTATAATACAGTCAAGTTAATTTTAAAACTAGTTGATGATGTCAAAGAATTAATGCTAAATTTAGGTGTGATAATGGTATGTGATTATATTTTAAATTTTTCTTTTTGAAAGTACTCCTAGATATATTTTTTGGAGGAAACAATTATAAAATATCTTAGATATTTGGGGGATTAGAAAGTGAGTTGAAGGTTAGAAGGACTGAATTATGGTAACAGCGTATTGGGGGAGTAGGGCTTATTTTAATTTTTTAAAATACTTTTGTATATGCTTGAAACTTCTCAATAATTTTCTAATGCTTCTCAAGTGATTATATTTATGCAAGTGACTACTGGTGCGTAGTAACAACACTAAGATGTAGGAACATGAATTTGAAGAATTTACTGTGGCAGGATTAACATCAGTAGCTTACTTTTTGCCTGAATTAAGTGCAATTCCAGAAGGTACTGGGGGAGGCTCTGAAAAGATAGAGCTCCTGTCTCTGCACACATCAGATTTAAAAGCAGACTTATCCAGATGTGGGAAGTAGAAAAGTTCCTCTTTAAAGTTTCCTTTCTTGTTAAAGAATAAGTCATAAGCATGCTAATAACTCTTTGTTAAGCCCTATCCTATGTAGCTGTTAAAAATGTCATCCTTACAGGCCAATAATATATTCTATGTCCTTGTACTTTAACCAAGATACCTGCGCTGGACATGCTCACAGGCATGTCTCAGCCTGCAGCCTGTGCCCCTTACCTGTTTAGAAAAGTTTTAAGTTGTTAGCCAATCGATTTTTAGTTTAGATTACGAGGTCTGTCTCCAGCCAAAGGAGATCAGACACAGCAATAAGGATGACCCCAAATACATACACTTATGTTTGCTTTTCCTTTGTTCCTTGTACTCTCGTGTCAAGATGGCTGTCAAGGACACCTTTCCTGCAGTCCAGGAAGTAAAAACTGTTTGCTGAGAGAGACTTTGTCTCAGTGCTGGTTTTTCTTTGCAGCACGAGCATCTGTTTCCAACACCAGACAATTCAGTTATGTACCACTTTCATTCTTAAATAAATTACTATATGTGTGTACTTATGTTGGTGTATGTATGCATGTGTATACCTGTTGGGATTCTTGGGGGATTGGCACCCCTTCAATACCAAAATCCACGGACATTCAAGTCCCTTATATAAAATGGTGTGGCACAAGTGTATAACCTATGCACACCCTTCTGCATATCTAATACAATGTAAATGCCTTGCAAATGGTTGTTACACTGTATTGTTTAGGGAATAATGACAAGAAAAAATCTGTATGAATTAGGAAGATGAAACCATCTATTTTATCCCCTGAATCCTTTGATCTTTGATTGATTGAATCCATAGATGTGGAACCCACAGATAAGGTGTGCCAACATATGTGGTATGTTGTTTCTATTTGATTCTCTTAAGGTTCTTACAGGTCTCTGAAGGCTTTGTAATGTATTTATTTTATAAACCCTTTCATAATTCCCCTCATTTCCCTTTTCTCATTGCACCAATTGATACAATACTACATACTTAACTGCTCAAATGAGACTCGGTGGGCTTAATGAAGCTACGCTGTATTGGAGATAAGCACGCATATGAAATGAAAGAATGTGGATCCTGGACCTAAGACCACAGGAGGGATGGAAAGATTCTTCTGGAATTCAAGGATATGTAGAGGGTTGCCAAATCTTGATTCAATTATATTTTAAGACTTTCGTTTTCATAAATCTATTTAGGGTCCTAAAATAATTTTTTTTAAGATAGTTAAGTATTGTCACGAAGCTCTGTCTTAATGAGAAAATAATTCTCACCAGAAGAGTCTGCCAGGCTTGTGCAGAAGGGCAGTGGTATGTGTAGAAAATGCTACCAGGGTTTTAAGTCCTATGGGCAAGCATCTAAGCTTCAATGTCTCTTTAGGATCAAGTAGTGAAACTCCTTGTTTCCAATCCTCCCAACTCACCCCACTCACTCCTACCAGTGGCATATCTGCTGCTTCTTTATCATCTAAAGTTAAAAGCCATCATAAAATCTACAAAAGCCCTGGCCACTAAAATATTTTTTTCATATAATGGGTGCAACTCTTCCCAGACACATAGAGAAGTTTATTCTGATTTGGTTCACCTTTATGCTAGCAATTGGAAAATTGTTACTGGCATATGTGGGTGTTTGTAAATAGGTGGTTTAGAAAAGAACTCAGATTATGTCTGGCCATTTAAAATGTCCACTCTATGGTAAGACCCCTCTCCTGAATAGGGCCTGTCTAACTGTCTCTATGAAGCACTGTCCAATGTGTCTGATACTTCCCGTTTCTAAGGACACCATGTAGAATAATCTATTTGGTAAAACAGCCCAAGAGTGGAAACATCAGGGTGATTTATGACCTGGTGAGATAACTTGTCCTGTTCACTACTCCATCTTATTTTTTCTTTAAACCTCCAGGAAATGTAATTAATTTAGGGCTAAATCCACAGTAACCCAGTTTTAATTCTGAGCCTCAGTTTCCAAATTGATCAAATACAAATGCAATTGCTGAACAACCTGATATGACTGTGAGACATTTTAAGGGTCATTTGAAATAACTATACGTTTAATGATATGGCAGAGATAACTAGAAAACAAAAACATGAAATGTTAGTGATGTTTCTGGGTGACTCAGCTTGTCTAATTTTTAGTTCCTTAGTGCAGGTTTCTCTGAACCCCATTGTGTAATAAATATTTACAGTCTTGGGCTTCATTGTGTACACTGTCCTAAGTGTGTGCCCTCAATTTAACAGTTCTGAATGAGTAAGTGTGCCCCATTCTCTCCTAAACAGAGGACAACCTGTACATTGCTTAAGGTTATGCTTTTCAGGACCTAAGAGTCTATTTAAACACACATTGAATACTGGATGCCTCAATAAAGATGTCTTGAATTACCTTGAAATAATTGAACCATTCAGAAGATGCTAGGCTTTTCCACATGACATTGAAGTCTATGTTATAACAGTCACCTCATGTGATGGAGGCATCATGTGACCAGGGACAAATGGTTTATAAAACCCAGAAAGGTTAAGGGTTGTCAGATCCTGACTGTGCCCATTGTATTTCAGTAATTGGCACTTGGTATTTGATTTAATGGAAGCTGAGGAATAAAGAATGTTTCTATAGACATGGCTGTTATGCTAATTTCTACTATACCATTCTCTGTCTTCCTAAATTACATGTGGAAACCTCTGTTTTCTATTATAGAATGACTTTCACCCTCTCTGCTTTCTGTACACATTCTCCAATCTCTCAGTGGCCTCATTAAATACAACTACTGTAAATTGTAAATTATAGGGTCTCTGGTTAACTAGTTTGTCCTGTTCTGATCTGAAGAGGCAAATTCCATTGTATATACTGGGCAAAATGTATGCCTGTCATCAGTCTTCTTTACAGGTCATTTCTTGGTGAAATTTGCTAACTCCAATTATGTGTGTCTCGGAGAGATCCTATATGTGTGCATTTAAAAACACCTTGTTCTATTCCCTCAAGTTTGAGCTAGGAAAAAGTGCTCTTTACTTCTATAAAATATCCATTGATAATAATAAAGTCAGAGAGTCTGGAAGGAGCTATTTTCATCACATTCAGCTCTTCAAGTTATACAAGCCTCCACAGGTAACGCTAGTGGAAAATAATCATTAGAGACATCCTATGGGAACTGAAATTCCAAAGCAGGGGCTAATTAGCCATCCTTAGAGTATTACCTATTGTTCTGTTGCTAACTTTGTCTTGGAGAGATTCCAAAACTTGAAGACCTAGGATATAAATTTATTCTCTTATTAATATTTACAGTAATTGCAGTCCATGGCACAGTTAGATGTTAACTATATTCTTCCCTGACTGTAAAGTGTGTGAATGTCTGTGTGTCTGTGTGTGTGTGTAATTGAATAAGGGCAAAGAAGATTAAAAAAAAAAAAGAAAAAAACAAAAAACCTTGACTGTCTCTGTAATCTCAAACCGAATGCCCCTTTTGAATTTCTTAACACCAAATTAAATCTTCTGTTCTTTGTTTTTTTGATCTAAATAGAACCAGCAGCCAAAGGCGATGAAAATCTGCAAGATAAGTTATTCTGGTTTCCAGTAAGGTTGCGGATACTATGAAACTCACAAGAGAGACCGGTTCTGCATACCACAAATTCTGAAGAACATTAAAGCATTAGGGCTTTCTCAGAAAATTTGGAAGTGCCTAAGTTACCATTTGAATGCCTATTGAATCATTTCAAATCCTTGAAAAGGCAATTTTGAAGGAGGTTAAAGGAGGATAAATATTAATAATGTAGTCCATAGCTTCAACTGGAGCGATTTAAGCACTGAATAAACCAATACAGTTTAAGCTAGCTCATTAGTAAAAGGGACAACTGAAAATTGAAGAAAAAAGTTAGAGCAACATGGTTTTTTTTGGCTACACTACACCAGTCAGAAGTGTCTTCAATAACAGCTAAAATAGATAGCTGTCTTTGAGTATAATTTGAGAGGAAGTTGGAAAGCTACAGGGCCCCAAAATAGCTCTACTATGATCTTGCCACTTATGCCAAATTCTGGGATTTAACAATCTTTGAAAGAAGCAGCCTGTAACATTTATTCCAAGTGAATTTATCAAATCCTATTGAAACCAAAATTAATTTGGGAATGAGTAGAAATATTTTGAACACCTAAAGAGTTGAGAAGAAAGAGAGCAGTCAAGAAGATGTGATTGGCAACTCACCTAAAGTAAAAGAATGGACAGGATTAGGAGATTGAGAAGCCACCAAAACTAAAAAGATTCTGGCACCAGTATCATACTTAATTCTTAAAAAACAACAACTATTAAATCTAGGAAATTCCAAATGCCAACAACATTCCATTTTGTTTTTTGAACTAATTCACTGAGCTTACTGTATTGTGTCCTCTGCCCATGTTTTGCCTTCCAATCAGGTATTCCACAACAAGTGAATATTTTGACAGATGAACTGCATTGAGAGGGGTCATAGACAAATCCTAAATATCTCCTGCTTTACAATTTCACCAGCAGACTCCAGTTTCAAGTAAAAAGAGACTCCTAGTGATATAGAGACCAAAAGCATGTAAAGGTACTGTACCCAAAAAAAAAAAAAAGGAAGTTTTGCCTTTTTGTAATGTAAGAGGAATCAGATAAAGTCCTAATCCTCAGTCTCCCCTCCTTCTATATTAAGTATCTGACATTCCATGGGCCCCTTCTGCTGGAGATATTAGGCAAACCAGGGTAGTATTAATGAGGGCAGGAAGAGCTTGACTATTGAGAAAACTTGGTGTACTAGTCCGTTTACATGCTGTCAATAAAGACATACCTGAGACTGGGTAACTTATAAAGAAAAAGAGGTTTAATGGACTCACGGTTCCACGTGGCTGAGGAGGCCTCACCATCATGGCAAAAGGTGAAAGGCCCGTCTTACATGGCAGCAAGCAAGAGAGAGAATGAGAGCCAAGCAAAAGGGGTTTCCACATATAAAGCAATCAGATCTCATGAGACTTATTCACTACTATGGGAACAGTATGGGGGGAAAACTCCCTCGTGATTCATTTATCCACCACCAGGTTCCTCCCACAACATGTGAGAATTATAGGAGGAACAATTCAAGACACAGTGGGTGGGGACACAGTCAAACCATATCACTTGGTAAACTCCAAGTGCAAACATGACACCTCTTCAGAACCAATAATCCCCAAACTTGCCTAGACCTTGTAATCACTCAAGAGAGCTCTGCTCTGGATCTGTCGAGTCAGAATTTCCTCCACAGAAATTCTGGTCAGGCTCTTTTTAATAAATTCTTTAGAGGATCCTTCTGCTCAGCCTGGCGCTTTTCTGTGGTCTGACAGTCGGGAGCCACTGTTCTTTATTCTGTATTTTGTTCTGGGTCTTTTATGTCTCAAGTCATAAATCATATTCCCATGAGCACTTTCAGCAACTTTTAGACTCTATTCTTTCGTTTCTTCTAAATTCTCATTTCCTCAATGCTGTTTGCCTGTCGTAGGGATCTTATTCCCAACCCACACACATTTTCTGCGGTTTTCAAGTGTATTTTGTAAAAAGGACTCAATACGTGCTAGTTAACTGAAGCTGAATCCCCCAGTAGCACCACAAATGCCTCTCCAGCAAAGCCCATGGGGTTACTGGTACCGAGTTTTAAACAGAAGGTCAAATATCATGTCAGAAAATCAGAAGCTAGTGATATCTGTTTGTAAGATTCATGGCAGAACAGTAAAAATCAAGTATTGGGTAAGGAGATCTAGGCTCCAATTCAATCTTTTGTACTGATTTGTCGAACAACTTGAATAAGTTATTTAATCTCTCAGATTCTAAATGTCTTCATTTGCCACTTGAGATCTTTCTCATTTGCTTTATCTGCATCTAAGGGGTCCTTGAGGGTCAAATTAGTAGTGCTGCACAATTGTAAGGCACTGTCATCAATCCAAGAAACAGCTTCTAACATCCACTTTTTTAACCTTTAGGTCAAAATTTTTTCTTGTTGCTTTGCCACCTTCTAACTCTCAGTGCTCCTTCTCATCTGTGAAGATGGAGAAGGATCTGGCATGCTGCAGAATTATGTTATCCTTAAGAACCTGGGTAACGGAAAGGAAATAACACAATTTCTACTTTTTTCTCCTTGTTTTAGTTTCCTAGGACTATTATAATAAATGAGCAGAAATTCGTGGCTTAAAACAACTAAAATGCTTTCTCTCACAGTGCTGCAAGACAGCAGTCTGAAATCTGGGGGTTGACCCAGTCGCACTCCCTCCAAAGCGGCTCAGGTGAAATCCTTCCTTTTCTCCTCTAGTTGGTGGTGGCTGTCAGCCATACTTTATGTTCTTTGATTTGGGGCAGCTTAATTCAAATTTCTGCCCTCATCTTTCCATGGCTGTCTTCTGTCTGTGTGTATTTGTATCCACATTGCTCTCCTCTTATAAAGACCCCAGTCATTGGATTAGGGTTGGCCTTAATCCCTTGTAACCTCACCTTAACTTAATTACATCAGCAAAGATCCTACTTGGAAATGAAGTTATGAAGCAGGAGAATAGGGTCTGGAAGCAGAGAACCTAAGGGCTTCCTAGAACTAAATCTAAGGGAAAAACCCCAACTTTCGAAGTCCAACTAAATGACTTCCCAACTCTACTTCAGCTATGATGGGAACATCCTCTTCATTTGCATAGGATGTACAACAAGTAAATAACTTTATAACTTCACTTCAGCCTCTTCATTTACATAGGGTATACACCAAATAACCATGTGAAACCTGTAGAGGGCATTTAAATCCCAGAAAATACTGTAACTGGGCTCTTGAGCCACTTGCTCAGGTCCACTCCCACCCTATGGAGCGTGCTTTCGTTTTTCAATAAATCTCTGCTTTTGTTGCTTCATTCTTTACTTGCTTTGTCTGTGCGTTTTGTCCAATTCTTTGATCAAAACGCCAAGAACCTGGACACCATCCACTGGTAACAGTTATGCAAGCAGATTTCAGGTGGACATGCTTTAGAGAGACTATTCAACCCAATACATTTCTGTGGATTGTTATTTTCTCTTTTCTTGGCCCTACTTTATAACAGATTTTTCAAAGCAAAACTTTGAATTTCTCATTAGAAAGCATACAAATTAGGAAGCATCATCCATCTCTTTTATTTTAGTATGAAAATGAATCATGGCAGAAAGCTAGAGCTAGAGGGTTTAAATCTACATTAAAAGAAGCAATCAGCTGTGATTGGAGGGGATGGAAAAGCCTTAGTACTACTGAAGGGGGTGTGGAAACACAACTATTGAAATTTACAACCATGAAAGCTGGGGGATAATTTCTACCTACATTAAAATATTTGAATAAAGATCATGAAACAACGTGAAATTACAAAGTTATCTGGTGAATATCACCTGTGAAGACAGGAAATCTAAATCAACTCATCTGAAAATAAATCTATATATCAATAAAACAGTTTTTATAGTTCTAACAGATACACACATAATTATTGTAATAGTATATGTGTGTATATTTTATATATATTAAAGATGTATATAACATATAATACATGGATATATGTAAGTATATATTTCTTATACACACACACACACACACACACACACACACACACACACAAACACACACAATTACCTCAAGTTCAGTTTCTTTTTCTTATATACAGAACCAGGCTGGAGGGCAATGGTGTGATCTGGGCTCACTCCAATTTCCACCACCCAGGTTCAAGCAATTCTCCTGCCTCAGCCTCTGGAGCAGCTGGGATTACAGGAACCCACCAGCACTCCCAGCTACTTTTGTGTATTTTTAGTAGAGATGGGGTTTCACTATGTTGGCCAGGCTGGTCTCAAACTGCTGACCTCAAGTGATCCACTCGCCTCAGCCTCCCAAAGTGCTGGAATGCTAAAACCATATTTTTAATGACAATATAATGGCAGAGTCTATTGTTACATTGGAAAACCCCTCCTTACATATAGCTTTTCAGTTTCAGTTCCTGGAGTTTTAACAAATGTGTGGTGTATGTTTCTCTATTTCATTGTAAAATATGCTATAACAGGTAGAAGAAATTGGTGGTATGACGTATTAGTTTGCACTGCATGAAATTGATTACATTCAAAAATTTTTATCTACCAGAAAGTTAAATTCATGTTTTTCAAATCAATATAAATAAATAAATAAACTAAAATAAGAAAATAATACCTCTCAGGGGAAATTCACCACAAACAAATTTGCCAAGTGTCCTTTTCTGATAGTGTACTAGAGTGTTTTATTAATATGTGGAAAAGGCATTCAACATTAATTTATTGAATACTTATTGAGGATTTTTAAAGTTCAGAACACCAGGAGATGTACAGAACATGTAAAACAGGTGTTTATACCCTCAAATCACTTGGAATCCAATTGGAGTGAAAGCCAACATAGCCAAAAAATTGTTTTAACATTCAAATGACATTTACAGAACCTTTAGGATACTTCGAGTGCTGTACTAGGCTCTGAGAGGCAATAGTGAGCAAAACATAAAACATCATATTCTGGAAGTTCAGACTGACCTTAGTTACATAAACTCAAAACTTATCTATCAAGATCAATACTTCAAAAAATGCAGTGTTAAAGGAACTTAAAGAAGTTCTGATATAATTCTTCAGACTTCAACTAACTGAAGGTTGGGTAAGAATTAGCTAGATTAAGCTGTGTGAGTGTGTTATGGATATGGGCAGGAGACAGGGAAATATTGGATGGAAGAGAGCAGCACTCCTGGCGAGGGTTCCACCCTCAAGCCTAGACCTACAACCCAAAGTGAGAACTATCCCTGTTTTCCTACACGAATCCTGCCTTTTGGCCCACCCCACCCTTTATCCTGTCCCCATAAGAATCCCAAACCTCAGACTGAGTAGACACACACACACCCACGCACACAAGAGAGAAGTGTCTCAACATCAAGAGGAGAAGCAGGAGCTGGACGTAAAAGACTATGGTCAGGGAAGTGTCAGCCGGGGATGGCCAGACTCCAGGATAAGATGATCTTCCCACTCTATCCCCTTTACAGTTCCCCTTCCCACTGAGAGCAACTTCCACAACTAATAAAGTCCTCCACATTCACCACCCTCCAATTCATTCATGTGACCTGATTCTACCTAGATGCCTGACAAGAACTCGGGTACCAAGAGGGCAGGATGTAAAATGCTGTCATCTGCTCCTCCACTCAGCTGGTTAACACTTAACCATCTGTGGATGACACATGCTAAAAGAGCACTGATTGTAACACATGCCCTGTGTGGTTCGGAGCGGGGGGAGTCGCAGACACTGCTTCCCAGATGGCAGAGCTAAAAGAGCATTGTAACACGACTGGACGTTGCCGTGGGGCCCTCACAGAGCCCACTTCCACCAGAGAGGAGCCATTGCCTGGTTCCAGCATTCATTCCCTTGGGTTCCCACACACATCCACTCGTGTGCTCCCTGCCAAAAGAGGTTGAGTGCAGAGGCTGGGTAAATGAGCCACCTGCTTCACAAGTCCTGCAAAAGGATCAAGGGAACTATCCTGTTTCATTATTGTTGGTGGTGGAGATTTCTGTAAGGAGAAGTGTTCACTCCGGGAACTGTAAGAAGCAGAGTGTGGCTGAAGTGAGGGATGCAAGATGGCAATATCAGCAAACCCAGGCAAAGGAGGGCCTGGAAGGTTTCCTTAAGGGTGTTGGTCTTTCTCATGAAATCTCTCAGAAACCATTAAATACTCAAGCAGAAGGCCTGGAAATCCAATTTGCATTTTAAAGATGTCTTTCCCAGCAGCACAGAAGCAAAAGTGGATTAGAGGATAGATGGAAGGCAGGGTATAGGCTAGAGGTTTTTGCAGGAAACTCAGATAAATGTGGAGGCAGTAGGAATGAGGGTGATCTTGGAGATAGCAGGGACATGCATAGAGCACTGCTGAACCACAGAGCAGAGGTATATTTCCCAGAGTGACTGTGTATAGAAAGTAGGCTCAAAATCATGCCCCAAAAGAGTTGCAAAAGTTAAATGAAACTCTCACTGATCTGCAAATTCCTGTTATGCTATCACTTTGAATGGTACATGAGATTGAAGGAG